AAATCGGAACGTAGCTCGATCGATCACCGACCAAACATTGATAGAGGAAGCAGAGTTGTCGATAAGCATCGACTAGCCAAGGAAATTGATTCGAGTCAATGCGGGCCGGGATTCGTAAGCCACGAGCCGATATCAATATACGTACGTTTCGAAAACGACTCGACTCGTCGAGGAGTCAATTTCGTTTATCCATGCCACCATCCGGTCTTCATGCTATCTGTACACGATACACACAGGGTGTTACAGAACTACTGAACGTTATGCTGACCGTAGTCTATTTCATATTTTATATCAACTATTTTTAAAGAAAACGTCGATAAATCTCTACAATTTTTTAATAATTATTGGAGAACCTATTGGAATTGTTGGAAAAGAGATATTGGCTATTTTCAACATGTTTAATGAGCACTGATTTTAAATTTGTACTCTACATGAATCCAAGTTTCGAAAAAACTTTCAACATATTATTGATTGTTATATATTATCCATTTTTATGATTTAGCTACAATTATACTCTGATATAGCAGTAGGATAATTTTCACTATTGCTTTACAGATTAATAAAAGCAATATAATTTATATGTTTAAAAATCTGTGTGTAATTTATGAGTAGTTGAAAGTGCTTTCGGTAATCCTAAGACATTTTGTATATTTTTGAAGCACTGATCCTTATCCGTATCAGTCGCGTGCCGATGAGAGGCGGTGACGATGCTCGGGAATAAGAAATTACATCGTAAGAGCTGGCGCGTGCCGAACTCACCCTCCGTTATAAACCATGATTACAATATATGTACATCTATGCATATGTATGTAGTAGGCAAAGTGCAATCGTATCTAGGAACTGCATCCATATGCATCACGAGATTGTAAAGAACAACGCTGTCGAAATTAAGGTAACGTATACTGACGTAGAGGAAAGTATGTTCGCCTTGCAAATGAGCTTATAACGTTTTCTTGGATTTTATTTGATAATAATCGGGATTGAATGATAGATAGAATTACATTGTCTTATCGTTAAGGAATTGTATTTATGGAAGCAATCTTAGAACTGAACAACTCAGATGGCTATATTAACCACAAATGCCGGCGTAAATAAGCGATTAACAACAAACATCGTAATAATTGTTTATTGATTTTAGCGAATCTCGAATATATTGTAAAATAACATTGTATACACATTTTCTTATAAAATCAAAATTGATCATGCAATGATTTTAATATCATAAAAAAAATATGTAAAATAAGTTATCTTAAATTATAAAAATAATTAGAATTGAAATTTTCTTTATTTTTCTCTTCCTTTACCTTTCCTTTACTTTTCTTTATTTTTTTTAATTAATAATTTTAGAACTGATTCTCTGCTCGCTTTATTCCGCTGTCTTATAAGATATCATATATGCGCAAATAATTACTCGGTTCATTTCTAGTCATTATTAGAATTTAATTTATGATGAAAATATTTCCTGATAGTTATACTTTCTAAATTTTCTTTGCAAAGATAAAAAGGTAAGCGCATTTCCAATAAGTTTATACGTATTTTTATCTATTCCTAACAGAGTATTACAACGCGTGAGAAATTCTTGTTAGGTAATCTAAAGTAAACCATAAATTTTTTAAGGAGTATAAAATTCTATAAGACGTAGATGTCAGATTTGTAATGAAAGAACAATTATTAATTGTTTATATATAGAAATTATTTTTATGAAGTTTTATTAATTATGTAATACTAATTACAAATTTTAACTAACATGTGTATATGTACGTAACATAGATTGCACAAAAATTATCTTTTCGATAAAAGAAATTGAAAATCGATGGAATTCAATGAATGATAAAGAAATTATTGGTTGACTGATAGCTTTGAAATTCAATCACATAAATCCGCTCGCTGTTCCACATATATGGGTGTATAAACGTTTCAGATGTACTGCATCTCTGTGGAAAATTGATTTATAAAATGCGTCCTATTGGAATTAATACAAATTGACCGCTAAAAATGCAAAAAGTAACCCGAGTGCTTTAAAGCTCGGCAAATGTACAAGTATATAGAGAAAATATTCCTGTTTTGTTGCTGTGATGATATTCATGCAATAATGACATTTCTTGACAATTTTTGGTTGTGTTAGCCTATCGAAATCCTATACTGACATTGCGGATAGGCACTGCGGATGCTAATGCAACCAAAAATTGGCTGCTGCAATCAAAAATTGTCTGCTGCAGCCAATTAAAAATGCTATGCTATATTTTACCATTTAATTTGTTGCAGCCAATCCTTTCTTTCAGTGTAATATACCTATATAATTTATATTGAAGCTTTATTGAACAAAATAATTTTTGATGAACATATGTCGTGATATATCCAAATATCGTATATTTGAAACAAGTGAAATGAATTTTTATTAAAAGATCATATTTTTCTGTACATATAAATTTTTCTCCCTCGAGGACAAACAATAAATTTGATCTGAAAATAAAAATTCTGCTAAGCCATCGATCGTAAAAAGCCGATTGGAATTCGAAGAATTTCTTTGCTTACGGTTCGTGATTTTTTTAATTACTATTGTAAAGTGAAATGCATTGCGTCAAGCTATGCAAAAAAAAATAGTTACTTCTTCTACCGGTGACAGTCATATGCATTGCAAGTAGGATTATTCTTGAGCTCTTTATAGATCTCGACGACAGTCTGCTTCCGCTCTTACGAATATAGAGAGCAGATCAGTGTCGAACGAGAATGCTATCCGACCCGATTAACGTATCGGAAAACTCATCCGCGCGATCTCACGTAGTCGATGATACGGACTTTAAGCCTTTGCTATGGCGATTCCGAATGCTATTTGAACTTCACCTCTTTCGTCTCATTCATGAATATATACCGTTACATTTCGCATTTCATGCATATCGAAATTTCATTACGCTTATTTTTAACGTCTATTGGATGCATTTTGCACAAAGATATTTTATCGTCATGAATTAATTAAAAAGAAAAAAACAAAAAATAATAAATTATGAATATATATGAGAATATATATGAATATGTATATTGCTTATTATTATATATTATAAATTTCTATTATGTTATTCAATTTTTCTTTTTTCCTTCGAAAATTAAATTTGATTAGCATAATCATCTTTGTAAGAAAGTAACTCTTTTTAATAATTTTTTAACTGTTTTTATTTTGTTCTTGATGAGACGACAATTGTAATTGCACTAATACACGGAGAAACAAATGCGTAAAATTAATATTTCAAAATGGAAAAATATAAAGAGAGAAAAATATAAAGAGATTTCATAAAGAATTTTTCTATTCTTGAAGTATCCTCGAAGTTGTATTGGTACAGAAAAGATCAGAGAACGCTCCTACTTTTCTCTTTCTTATCTTTCTTCCCTATTCCCAGTACATGCCATAATGTGGTCGCATACGTAAGTGAAAAAACATAACGCGGAATATATATATATATAGGGGAAGAAACGCTCTGTCGACTGCGCGTGAAGGGGTTCGGTTGTAGATAGGTAGATAGGAAAGAAAGGGTTGTGAAACGATGTGGAGTGTCAATGGTAGTTTGCAATGGAAAAGAGAGAGAAAGAGAGATGGAGAGATGGGGGTGGAGAATCGAGTGAAGAGCCGCCGCTACCGCTGCTGCCACAAAGTAGGCGCGGCGCTTTATCGTCAACTAAAGGCTAAGAGACGCTCTACCTTTCAGTCTTTTACACGTACTTCCTGGATATCTTCTCTGCATACTTGCTACATCCCCCTCTAGCCCCCTTCGCTTATCGTAACAAGTTCTTCTGTCGACGAGATGCAGCCGATGCGTCGTCGTTATATCGCGTTTCCCGCTACGGATACCGTCGTAGATTCCACGGAGTGTCTCCGACTTATTCAGCTACCTTTTATCTACTCTACCGGATCATTTGATTAGTTTAGACTCGATCCGAGCAAAGGGATTAAAAAAAGACGCTAGAGTAGCTTTTTAGCTTAAGCAGTCGAGAATCAAGCTTTTCTGAAAATAAACCTTAAAGAAGCAAACACAATGAAGCTCTTTAACTTTATTTAATTTTGGACGAAATTAGATTTATAATTTTGAAATGAGTTGTACAATAAATATCTGATGCTGAAAATTTTAAAAATTCGCGACAATGATGATCGAGTTAAAGAGAAAAATAATCACGACTTTAAAATTAATTTAGAGATTTATGAATAAAATATGACTAAAGTTTTAGAATAATCTGATACATTATCGATTAATGTGTGCATGTAAAGCTGTGCACGTGCGAATAATGTATACGCGAATGGTTCATTCGCGGACGTGAGAACGTAATAGGAAGATTGTAGCATGATGCGCGAAATCCGACGCGTATTATGATTCAGACGCATGATTGATTGATTCACGGAAAACATGTTTTCTGTAAATAATTTATACGAAATCCATACTTATACTAAAAATGTTGTTTATTATTTAGGTTCAATTTTCTTATTTATTAGGTATATATATTTTTTATCATTTATTACTGTATATTTTTGTTACATTACAAAGAAAAATCAATAAAAATACAATTTTTAAACATTATTCCGGAAATATTTTGTGCAGTTAATCACGTTTTCTCTAATGCTTATCATACGGAGAGAACGATTTTGATGAAGTATTTAAAAATTTAGGTAGATATATCTGAAAAATAGAAATCTGAAAATAATTTTGTTGGACGATCGAAATAACTATGTAGGAAATTCAAGCGTGATAAGCAATGCTGCAAAAAAATGTCGATATTCTAACAATCAGTTTCTACATAATTAATTATTTTGATAGTCCAATAAAATTTATTTTTAGATTTGTATTCAGCTAAACTTTTTAGGTACTTCAGCAAAACCATTCTTTCCGTGCAACTATAGATTACACGATTATTATGATTTTGAAATTATATGTCATATTTTAATGTCATATTTTCTTCTTGTTAGAAGAATCATAATTTTGAAGCTAACCGAAACGTCTTTTTTTTTGTTACAGGTGAGGTGATTGGCCAGCGGTTTCTGGGAAATGAAAGCCATGTGGAGCACTTCAAGCTCTTAGAACGTGCGACAACCTCTATCCTGATTGGTGCCAGGTAATTGTTACATGATTCGATTCTTCGTCGTGTCGTCCCCACGTGCTACTCATGGGGGCTTACATAAATGAGATAGTCATCGGCTAGACTCCGCTCATTGGTGCCACGAGCCCCAAGTGACCGACGGGTCGAGTCATTCATTCGATTACACATCAGCAGCGGGTGACGCAGCATCACGCATATTAGTAGCAAACAGAGATGCGGTTTATGCGCAACGCGCACTATTCATTTGTATTCAAAGGCCAAAGGCAGCATGCAGCATACTGCATGTACCAGACCATTCTTGGACTATCAATTTCTTAACTAATCTTCAATTTCAATTTAGTAATGATTTAATAAAATAATACTTAAAAAAATTTTTTATTTTTAACATTATTCATTTTGTTGAGTAAGTTTGAAAGTAAAATTATATTAAAGGTTATTTGAAATTAAATTAATGTAGAACGATTTTATTACATTTTTTAAATCCGTGACATTGAATTTTTAAAAAGATTTTTATTTTCGGTTGCTTATTACTTGGTTACTATCGATCTTTTAACTTTTTTATCAAGAAATGCCTGTTCCAAATTGGTCAAAGAACTTGTAGAGGGAAAATGGGTTTGAGACATCTTGTTATCCGCAAGCGATTCAATCGATAGAACGTACAAAGGGAAAGATAGTTCACATTAAAAAATTTATTTCGTATTTCAAAGAGGCGATTATCGTTTTGCCATTATTGTGCGTTATAGTCGTGCGTGTGTATACATACGAAAATCACTTTTATATTACCTAACATTATTTTATCAATTTGGTCCAGTTGTGCTGTTAGTAAAGTAAAGTGGTGGAGACCAATAGCGTATCTCTTTGTGGAATCTGATACAAATACATTGGCTAATGGAAATTTGATATGAATCAAAAAATAATTTAATTTTTTCCCGTTCGTGCTCTCCACACCAACAGTCAGCGCAACGTTCCGAAGTCGTAAAATCAATTACGTCCGAGATACATAGCATGGATCTTTTCACGGTTCCAATTTTGTCTTTGCAGTTTTTCCGCTTGATTTATGTTTCGCACTTCTATTTCTTTTGCACATGCAAGATTTAGAAGTCACCCGAAAACGGTTTTTATATTCGTTGAATGAACGTCTACAATTTATCTTTTAAATATATCGCGTTCTTTGTGCGTCATTTTTGCTGTTTTACTCATAATTGCCGATGCTTACTCACGTTTCAATCCGAGTTGTCGACACGGAGACGCACGAAGCGCAGAGATTACAGGGACGATTTATGGGTAGGATTTAACGCTCTCGTTTCGTTTTGCAGGAACGCCATTTACAACATAAGTCTGCACGACCTAACGGAGATCGCCGACCAGGTGAGTACAACGCTAATATAACCGTTTCCAATATCTAAAGCACGACAAAGAATGATTTAAATTGAAAAAAAAGTCTGACAGAAAGATTTAAATTACATCTCGTATTAACAGTATCACGTTTCCTTCATTCTTTTTTCTTCGTGTTATTATATTTCGAAAATCTTTTTCGCGATTAATCACGCCTACCTATTAGTTCGACGGAACTATCTATGTACATATGTATATAGAGTACTTCTCAAGACAGTAGGTCAAAAGTTACAAAGCGATATCTTGGTAACTCGCAAAACTACAAGGAATAGGTACTCAGGAGAAACCGCAGAAAAGTATAGAAGGGGGTTAGTGCGAATGATGGAGAATCTTGGTGGCGGCGTAACGTAGCGAGAGGAGATCGATCTGAGACAGCTCCTCGGCCAATAACACCCATGCCTAGAATAGAATCGTAAAAGTCACCATGCTCCAGCTTGTCCTTAAAGCTTGCGCCGTATCGCGGCCGACCGTCGCGATCGATTTCGATTTGAAGGATTTAGAGGTAATGGAAAGTAGCGGAAAAGAAGCTGTGTGAAACTTGCTCGATATCACGATATCGGATCGATGCAGTTTAGCTACTTTAGGAAAAAAAGCGTTTTCGGTTAAATCATCGTTTTTTCGAATAATCTTTTTTTCGCAGGAGATATAAACGGAATCGATTTGATTCTCATAACAGGTAAACGAAAGATTTGTTGGGCTGCTATTTCTAGGACTTTGATATTTTCAAATTGATGGTTTATTCTTACAAATATATAAATAAATGCACACTTTTATCGAAAAAAAAAAAAAATATATATATATATATATATATCTCGATAATAAGCCAATTACAAAAACTTATTCCATGTTTCGTATTTGTTTTTTTTTTATTTCTTCGAAATAAGGGAGATTATTTCTTCGAAGGTTGAATCAGAATTTATCTGATAGCTTCTGTATAGTTCACGTAAGAATAAATTATTTATAAATGAAAGAAAAAAGGAGGAAACGACAAATTTTCCTTTCCGAAATAAATTCTCTTTAAAAATAAAATTAAAAAATACATAATCTGTTTATAGAAACGAGAATAGATTAATTGTCAATTTCTCGATAACATAATATCGATAAATGAAATCAGACAAATTGTATTGTGATTTATGTGAGATACCCCTGCGAAAATGTGAACGATACCGCTGAATCTACTCTTTCCATTCGCATTCATTTGCGCATATTTTCAGTATAGAAAATGCTGACAGCTTCGTTTACGGTTATAGTAAGCGTAAAAAATTTGAATAAAAGATAATGATATATCGAGCATTATATCGACAAACCAATTTATTGTAAATTGAAAAGGGAACGTAAAATTCAACATTAAATTGTTATGAGAGAAATTTGCATAATAACAAGATATACGCGGAATATATGATATATCCTCATGTCAGTATTGTCTGCGTGCACAATATGTTAATCAGTCGTGCATAATTAAAAATCAATTAGAGAATATTAAATTATAGTTACAACTGCGTCAATATGAAGAAAGGAATCTGGATGAAATGTGTGCTCTCCATTATGGTTGAGCGCTTTATCAGAATCGTAATTACTAATTAAATTACGATTTTAATCATCGTTTGCTATTTGAAAGTAATTATAATTCCTCCAAAAGTTGTCACAGAATCTTACCGTTTGTTATTGAAATGTTTATTGAAACGGCGTGCTATTTAAATTAACGTCTACATTTTTGCACATACGCTTTTAACGAATATTCAGGATTATATAAAGGATAAATAATAAACAATGCAAACACTACAATATTATACATAGCGATATGTTGTTTGATACAATCGCGTATATAATATCGCGGTTATCGAAACTATAATCATTTTTTTTTACACAAAACAGGAACGATCTATTTGATGTATTTTTATATTGGATTTCCCAGTTTCAGATAAATGTACATTATAGATATGTTGATTGTAAACAACTCTTATTAAATCGTATGATCTTTTGTTTATTTAACTTTTCTTGTCAGCATCTGTCAGGGTACTTTTATTTAGGATTTCCGCCACTAAGCATATCTTTTTATGTAAATTACGGATTTATCGCGGATTTTTTGCAAATTTGTTAAATATTTCAAAATAATCTTTTAAACTGTACGTTCGAGAAATAATTTGTTTTTAGAGGTCGAATAATGAAAATTGAAATGAAGATAAATACTCATGGCAGAGAATACAGTAAACTGGAGTTAAATAGTCAAGTATTTGACGTGATTTCAAAAGCGTGACGGCGTGCCGCGCTTGGAAGACTGCCATTTCGATAAACAACAATTTTACCCGACGCGCGGAACGTCATTCGCGCAAGAAAGACGTTGTTGACATCGTAATCCCTCCATGAAAGTTTTCCGCGAGGCTAATTGAGTCTGCAGCCGCTCCCGACTGGCGTCGTAAGTTCAGTCGCTTGAGTGCTGCGCCAGCTCGAACGAACGAGTGTTATTTCCGTCTACGATAACATGAGATAATAGAAGATTCGATCTCTTTCAAAGAGACTTGGTGCCAAAGATACGACTTTCAGTACGGAATTTATGTACCTATTCTGTTGATAATACACGCGATTCCATTCGAAATATATCTTGTTACGACACATTGGTGCTTGATCGAAACGAGAAAATGAACACAATGATTATTCATCATTAATTTCTGCTAATCCTTGTTTTTACTAATTGCTGTTGGAAAGGTTATTATCCTAAACGTTAATCAAACAGTCTGATAATCATGTAAACAAACGATTAATTGAAGTGATAAATTAATTCGTACCGAATTGATGCGAATGACACTTATAATAATCAGCGTAAAAGTATGAATGCACATGCAAAAATAAAAGTTATTTTCTCATATTGCAAAGTGGCAGAGCAGAAGATACCTTGCCAACAGATAGATTCCGCGACGAGCAATTTGTTTCTGTGACATAATATTTAATATGGCGAATGTAAATTTTAGTCAAAAGGATGGCACACTTAATTTACGTGTACTAGTAATTTATGTTCTGCCGCGATATATAAGTTCCGGTATTACCGCGTAGCGACGATAGTATATACTATAAAGAAACTTGGATCATTTCGGAATAAAGGTTCGACGCGTAAATTTATTCATGATTCATCTAACTTCGCCGTACTTTTTTTCCCCGCTCGTGACTGTGAAAGCCGTTACCCCGAATGCCCGACTCAGCTAACAAATTTCAAACTAAACTAATACTTATCGGCTCCACTGATAGTGCATAATTTATGTCCGGTAGCTAACGCGCTCCGGCGCAGCTTCACTCCTCGAATCAATATGATGTCTTATTCGCGAGAGATACGTCGATGATATGCCGATTTTTATTTCTGCCATAATCCGGAATATGTTACGTATGCGCATTAAATTTTACAATAAGGAACACAAGTAAAATATTTTTTATAAGAATAACTACGTTTAAGAGCATACAGGATCAATACTCAAATGAAAAGGGAGAAAATTGAAAGAATTGAGATGAACCGATAACGCGGGGCGCGGGGAAATGCGTACATTTTTCGTTCTTCTTTGTTACTATTATTGTAGATGAAAATTTCGATGTATTAGTGCGAACGATTTGAAGCGAAATTGCAGTGGCTGCAATTGTGAATTGGAATAACCCAATATCTATTGAATCGTTCAGCTGTGAACGTGAACACCAATACTAGTAAAAATTGGAATAACATATCTAAGGAAAAATGTCATAAAAATGTACTTACATCTAGAGATCTATATTTTTTTTAATAATATGTAGATAATTAAAAACATGCAGCAGTATAGTATACTTATTTTTAACGATTTATTTAATAGCTGCATTTTGAATAAAAAACGGACATTTCAAGTATTATTTTATTGCTAAAAGTCTGAAAAGATCCAGTATTTATCGTACTGAAAGCTTTTTTGTTATTTATTAATTGAAAGTTTAATTGAAAGTAATATTTTATAGTGATAACAGAGCATTCGACAGATATATGTACATTCATATATCGTCATTTTCTACATTTACTTTCAATCTATGTATTTTACTTTTTAACTTTTAAAAAATAGTAATAGATGTATGGTCTATTGTTCTATAGCTGCATAAATATTGTACTTAGAAAGTATTTAAAAAATTTACGTGAATTTACTCTCTATTTTTTTTTATTACTATTATAGTATATAATGTCACTTTTTTAATTTAAAATATTTATTGTGTTTATACGTATTTATTGTACTTTTTTTTGTAAAAACCTGATCGTTTATTGAAAATATATATATTTTTTATATATATTTCGACGAGATACTTAGATTTTTCAGATATCTATCTGTTCCGTTTCAATAAAGTCATACGAATATATTGACAACAATGAAAAATATTCTAACATTTAGAACGAAAGTATTTTGTAATATTTTGCAAAAGTTACATATTTAAAATTTCACTGTTTATTTTAATTTTGTATTTCAAAAAAGGCCCAAATATATATCATGATATAAAAAATTTAACAATTACATTATATCTTCTCAGAATTAAAAACTCTTAAATAACTGTCTTTGCATGGTATAAAAATAAAAATAAAATAATGTATTATAAAACCAAGAGAATATAATGAAGATACTGTATGAAAATAATCTTATGGAATAAACAATGGAGAAGTGAGAACAGTACGTGTAATAGCACCCGAGCTGTGTTATTTAGCATATTTCTGTGAAAGCGGCAATAATGTTTCTGCTGACATTTTATTTCTCCACAAAAATGAATCTTCCGCGTGATTCTTGTATTTATACGTCACGTTAAAAAAAAGTCCGCGACAAAACAATAAATGTTTTGGAAATTCTCGCTATTTGCACGATCTTTTTCAGGCACGTCGAAATGGATACCGTCGAGTTTTTTCTCGCATAATCGCGCATGCAGTTTTACCGAGAGTATAAAAAAATGCCAAAAATTCGGAAACTTTTCTCATTTGCGTAGTACAT